CAATTAGGGAACAATGCAAGTGCTGCTGCCCGCAATATATGTGCTGCGCTTGGTGAAGGTGCTGTTGCTGATCGAACGTGTCGAGATTGGTTAAAAGGATTTCGTGAAGGTGACATGTCATTAGAAGATCGTCCAAGATCTGGACGTCCTCTCGAGTCTGATATTGAATGATTAAAAGTCCTGATCGAAGACAAGCCACGATTAACCACCCATGAATTGTCAGCAATGCTCGGGTGCGACCAATCCACCATTGATCGCCATTTGCATAAAATGGGAAAAGTTAATAAACCTGGAACATGGGTTCCACATAAATTAACCTCGGACAACGTACAGCAAATAATCACCATATGCAGTTCTTTGTTGTCAAAACGCAACCGACATAGATTTCTTCAGCAGATAGTTACTGGTGATGAAAAGTGGGTTCTATATGTCAACCATACGCGCAAGCGCCAGTGGGTAAATCCTGAAGATTTGCCCGAACCAGAACCAAAAAACGACCTGCACCCGAAAAAGATGATGCTCTCAATTTGGTGGGATTTTCAAGGTATTATTTACTGGGAACTCCTTCTGCCTAACACTACCGTCGACTCGAAGCTGTACTGCCAACAACTCCAAAATCTGAAAGTTGCATTGCAAGCAAATCGTCCTGAAAAACGAAAAGTTCGACTACTTCATGGCAATGCAAAACCTCATAGGGCTAAGGTCACTCGCCAAAAGCTGGAAGAATTAGGCTGGGAGGTCCTACCTCATCCACCATATTCACCAGACTTGGCACCATCTGACTATCATTTGTTTCGATCGCTCCGTAATCATCTGGTCAAAAAACACTTCGATGATCAAGCCCACCTAAAATCGGACCTCTAAACGTGTTTTTTGTCTTTGTCTGTGAAGTTCTTTGAAGATGGTATTCTGGATTTGCCTAAAAGATGTGAGTATGTAATAGATAACAACGGTGTATATGTTGTTGATTGATGACATTTTATTTCAGTCAAATCTCGAAACCGAGAAGAAGACAAAAAATCGGCGGAGACTTTTGCATCAACCCGATATTATTTGTTCAG